AAAACGCATCAAAAATGTGTCAAAAACACATAACAAATGCACAACATGCTTTTCTGCAGTGTCTCCATTGAAGTCTATAAAACCAAAAACGCTACATTTTGCATTTAAAAAAGTCCATGACCCTTTTCAAAAAACATACTGGTAAAAATGAGGAGATGTGAACCTGTCCCATAGGAAATCATGTTAAATGGACTGCTGTGCGTTTCTGCAAAATGCATAGGTGTGAACCTAGACTAAAGGCATGCAAACCCTGCCACTTTCCTCATTAAAGCCATGCAGGTGCAGCAACTGATTGATCATTAGGAACTACCCCCATTCACATTCATTTTGCACATGGACACAAACAAACATCTATCTTTTTTCTTCAGAATAACAAAAGGTAGGAATTTGCTACAAAGTGTTGAAATTCTTGCAATGGATATAGATCACCCAGAGGGGAATTTTTTTTTCAACAAAAGTGGAGTTACCCTTTAAAGAAAAAACATCACTTTGCCTACCCATCTGTCTCTTTCAAAAGACTGCTTTTTTGCTTGGTTTCTGCAGACACAGCAAGTTAAAGTACAATTAAAGGCAAAACTTTTTTTATACACAGTGGAGATGAATTAGAACACCTGTTGGGTTTTTATTGCTGACTGTGGCCCTGTTACCCTAGGTTCACACGGAAGCGTTTTCCACCGCGTTTTCCAGAAATGCAGTACAGTCTATTTAACATGATTTCCTATACGACATGTTCACATCTCCGCGTTTTCACCCGGTGCGTTTTTTGAAAAGGGTCAGGGACTTTGTTTGAATGCAAAAAGTTGTGTTTATGGTTCTATAGACTTCAATGGAAACGCTGCAGAAAAGCATTTTTGCTGCAAATTTTATGCGTTTTTGCCTGTGTTTTGCGTTTTAAAATCTGCCTATCAACAAGAAAAATAAAAAATGAAAAGAAAACGCAAAAAGCATCATAAACACGGCAAAAAAGTGGGAAAAAAACGAAGGTGCAAAAATGCAACACAAAACGTAATGCAGAAACGGCGTATTGTATGCGTTTTTGCCTGTGTTTTGCGTTTTAAATCTGCCTATCAAGAAAAATGAAAAAATGAAAAAAAAAAAAAACGCAAAACGCATCATAAATGTGGCAAAAAAGTAGGAAAAAACACACTGCAAAACGCAATGCAGAAACAGCTCAAACGCAACCTGCAGAACCTACAGTAGCCTTAGGGAAATCCATCCTCTCTGTTTGCAGTTTTTTTACATTTATAATCTAGAGTGAAATTAAAAGAAAATCATACATTTTTGTGTTGTCCCCAGAAAAGTAGATTGTATCGTTCTGGTGACCGTTATGACAACAAAAGATTCCCCCACTTTGAAGGAATTTACTCTCACTTCTTATTGTGGCTATGAGACAGGAAGTGAGGGGAAATCTCCCCAATGGGACGCAGATGGCAAAAAATTACAGGAGTTATAAGCCTCCCCTGCTCTATCCAAAGCCAAAATGAAAAAAAAAAAAAGTTTTGAGACAGCATTAAGGTGTAAAACCTTCGGCCCATACACCCCCGTTAACAAGCATTTTACCAGTGCAGTGTGAGGGGAAGGCCCACTGCAAGGGGATTTTTGTGCCCAGAGTTGGGCTTTAAAATACTTTCACCATTCCTGTGATGTTCTCCTTTAAACAGTCAAAGGTGTCATTTGTATTGCAGGACTTGCACTTTACTAAATGTCCCATGTTACACAGTTAATACATAAAGCTTAATTTGCAAGAGCGCACGTCAAAAGTTTGAATTTCAAACCTATATTCAAAGCAACTTGAACAAAGAGTGTAAAAAGCATAAACCACACGAAGAATGTATGTAAAACATGAATCTATATTTCTCTGGGAGTTTAAAATTTATTGGATTTTTGGAAAATGTCAGATTACTCTATCACATGTATTTTGTTTTTGCTGTAGAATTGGCCTTGTTCATATTCCTGAAGATGCCAAATATATTTCCAGGACATGCATTGAGGCAAGTCTCCACCCTTTACCTATTAAGCTGCATTATTATAACAATAAACAATTGATTTTGGAATATATTATGCTCCATCACCTCCTTGCTGCCTACATTAACTCCCTGAACCCTACATTAGAGCACTGCAGAGTGGCTAAATTCACTGAGTGGGTCACTCTCAGTGGACGTTACGACTGCCTAAATCGACAGGGGGTATGATCCCTGCCGTGGCTGCAAAGCATCAAGCCCGTAGCATGTGTACAACCCTGGCTGCTGCCTCTGCAGATAAAGGGGAAGTGGTTGGAGGCAGTAAAAACATGGTTCAAAAGCAGGGTTCTACTGCCCCTCAATGACTAGTGTTAACAAGCCCTATAAGTCTCTTCTTTCAGTGTGTAGTTGTCTTTTATAATTGGGATGTGGTACCTTATACTGTGTCAGCACATTTCTATAGTGTGTTTGTTAGAAAAGATATAATATTTGAGGATTATTATTTGTATTTGTGTATATATTTGCTGATGATACTTTGCATACAGATAGTTTTGAAATGATAAATAACCACCCTTGGTTATTGTTTTTTCCCTACGTGATTTGTTTTATTTTGAAAACTTCTGGCAGTTATAATTACTTTTGCCATGAGATCATATCTGTGAGAAAAATCACTGTCATCTGGGAAAATCAATGGCATCCTTTCTGAAATGTAAGGTCCCTTTCACATGGGACAGACTCTGTCAAAGGGATGTGCCATGTGCTCAGCGGGGGATCTGTCCACTGATCTACGCTAAGCAGGGGTGGACTGACAACTCATGGGGCCCCCGGGCAATAGGGGATCATGGGGCCCCTGTGTACTTGCCCAAACTCAAAAAAGCCTATGAAAAAGGTACGAGGGGCATCTCATGGGGCCCCCTACTGACCCCGGGCCCTCAGGCAGTACCCGAGTTTCCAAATGGTCAGTCCGCCCCTGATGCGCTGACGAGCTGGCGGATAAAAATTGCCAATTCCCCCCAGACGAAGTGCGTGTGCACGAAACGCGTAGGAGGAGCCAGCAACGCCGTGACGTCATGCCGCCGGAGCATCGTGGAGCTCCGGCGGCCATCTTATACATGGGAAAGTTAGTCCATGCTGTTTTTACTCTGCTCATTTAACCGCACTCTCATGTGGATATTCGCATATGCTTCAATAAATTTAATACTATACTACACTATGGAGATGTCTCTGCTTTGACTCCCCTGGGGAGCATTAATTCACAGCTACCCACCTGACCACCAGAGAGGGAGCCTCCATAACTTTCAGAGGGCAGTACCCAAACTATCAACCTAGGGCAGTGGTGGGCACATTTTTTTTTTCAACTGAGCCAAATCTCGTAAATTCATCCCCCATAGTAATTCATCCCCAAAACCACGATTGAAATTTATTTTGAGAGCCACATTTTTAAAACTGAAAATACATAGGATGGTACACTGTTTTTAGTTTCAATAAGTTTTTATAGTAATTCATCCCCCATAGTAATTCATCCCCCATATAGTAATTCCCCCCATCATCCCCCATATAGTAATTCATCCCCCATAGTAATTCCTCCCCCATATAGTAATTCCTCCCCCATATAGTAATTCATCCCCCATAGTAATTCATCATCCCCCCCATATAGTAATTCATCCCCCCTATAGTAATTCATCCCCCATATAGTCCCCCATATAATTCATCCCCCCTATAGTAAATTCATCCCCCATAGTAATTCATCCCCCATAGTAATTCATCCCCCATCATATAATATCATCCCCCATATAGTAATTCATCCCCCCTATAGTAATTCATCCCCCCTATAGTAATAGTCATCCCCCATATAGTAATTCATCCCCCATAGTAATTCATCCCCCATATAGTAATTCATCCCCCCCCCCATAGTAATTCATCCCCCATATTAATTCATCCCTCATATAGTAGTAGTAAGTAAGTAGCAAGTAGTAAGCCAAGTCCCCCCTGTGTCAATTCACTTACCTTTGCTCCGCGCGTTCCTCTCGCCGTGTTCCCCGCGCTTCACCGCCGCGTTCCGGTCTTCAGGGCGGACTGTGAGAGGAGCTTAGCTCCCCTCACGTTCGTCACGCTGCCCCGCCTACACACATCCTGACAGCCAATCACTAGCTATCAGGATGTGAGTGGCAGCGAGACTGGCCAATCATTGCTGGGCTAGCTGCAGAGTCCTCGGCCGCCCGAGAGGAGGGAGGGGAGCGGGCGCCCGGCACACAGAAGAGCCGCATTAAAATGTGTAAAGAGCCGCATGTGGCTCGCGAGCCGCGGCTTGCCGACCACTGGTCTAGTCTACTGAGTGGCAGTTAGTAGCAGTGTTATTGTCAGTGTCATTTAGATAGTGACTTTATTTAATTAGTAATTTTTTTTAATGTCATTTAACCACTTCAGTACTGGACACTTTCAGCCCCAAACTGTCCAGGCTAATTTTTAGATTTCAGCACTGTCATACTTTGAATGTCTATTATTCATTACTCATGCAACACTGTACCTATATGAAATGTTTAGGTTTTTTTTTAGATGGAGCTTTCTTCTAGTGACATTTAATCACCACTGGGTTTTTAAAATTATTTTGCTTTATAAACCAAAAAATACTGAAAGCTTGAAAGACACATTTTTCCTTTTTTCTGTTATAAATTTTTGCAAACATATAATCTTTCGTCATACATTTAGGACAAAATGTATTCTGCTACATTTGCTTGGTAAAAATAATTCAAACTAGCGTATGTTATTTAGTCTGTATGGCTACAAACTATGAGATATATATATATATATATGAAATTTGATCAATCCTAATGTGCTGACGGCCTCATCGCATTTCTTGAGGCCCTAAAATGCCAGGACAGTACATAATATGCACAAAATGACCCCTTTTTGGAAAGTAGGCCGTAGTAATATGACGGGCGCAAGGTGGTTCTCTCATTCTGGGAGGACGTCATATGATATCCTCCCATTCTCACTGCGCATGCGCGGCTCAGGGAGCGCGCAGTGCGGCGATCGGCGGTGCGCTGTGTCTCTCGGACACAGCGGATCACTGATCACGGAAAGAGCCGAAGATGTCGGCTCGGTTATGTGATCAGCTGTGTCCAATCACAGCTGATCATATGTAAACAGGGAAATGCCAGTTATCGGCATTTCTCTCCTCCCGAGCTGTCACGCTGACAGCTCGAGAGGAGAGGAGAGCTGGTAATCGGCTTTCTGCGGAGGGGACATGTACACTGATCATCAGGGCACTGATGATCAGTGTGCCCTGATGATCAGTGTAGCCCCAGCAGTGCTACCTGTCAGTGTCCATCAATGCCTTGTGTCAGTGCTCATCAGTGCCTCGTGCCAGTGCCCATCAGTGCCTACCAGTGCACATCAATGCCACATATCAGTGCCCATCTGAGCTGCTTTCAGTGTCACCCATCAATGCCAGTCAGTGCCACCTATCTATGCCAATCAGTCCCGCCAATCAGTGCCGTCTATCAGTGCGCGCCAGTGCCACCTAACAGTGCCAGTCAGTGCCGCCTAACAGTGCCAGTCAGTGCCACCTAACAGTGCTGCCTATCAGTGCCATATATCAGTGCCATGTATCAGTGCTGCCTTTCAGTGCCAATCAGTGATGCCTGTCAATACACATCAGTCCCACCTACCAGTGCTCTCCTCATCAGTGCCCATCAGTGCCACCTATCAGTGTCCATCAGTGCAGCCTATCAGTGCCCATCAGTGCACCCTCATTAGCGCACATTAGTGAAGGAGAAAAATCACTTATTTACAAATTTTTAGAAAAAACTAAGAAAAAAAACATTTTTTGTTCAAAATTTTCAGTGGTTTTTGGTTTGTTTAAGAAAAAATAAAAAACCCAGAGGTGATTAAATACCACCAAACTAAAGCTCTATCTGTCACAAAAAAATTATAAAAATTTCATATGGGTACAGTGTTGCATGACCGCGCAATTGTCATTCAAAATGTGACAGCGCTGAAAGCTGGAAATTGGCCTGGGCAGGAAGGGGGTATAAGTGCCCAGTAGGCTAGTGGTTAACCAACTGAAATACACAATACACAGGAAAGTGGAAGTCCCTAAGGTAATCTGAGGTTGTTTTCACTGCAACAGCTATTAACTTTGTTTTGAAACCTTGCTTTGTTTATTTTTTATCTCTAATAAGTTGCTTTTGAGAATTATTTATTTCTCCCTCCTCGGCACAAAAACTTTCTGTTTCTTCCCTTCCCATGCCATGTGACCTTCTACATTTAGCACTTGAAACCAAACCATTTCCCAGCACAGGACATCACAGAGATGGGCTACACTTTGGCAAAGAACTGACATCTGTTTGCAGCAAAATACATTTTTATTGTCAGCACAATAACATACCAAGCAAAAATAATCTAAACTTTTTTTTTTTTATTATTTAAAGGGCTATGGAAATGCAAAGGTGACATATTGTAGCTGTCAGTTTTTAATTCCTTATGCCATATTTTCTGAATACCTACTATACAAAGGAATGCAGAAGAACTTGTTTTGTTTCTTAGAAAGTGTGGGGAGCAAGTTTACCCCATCACTTTTCTTTTGCTTAAAGTGAAACTGCGCTGCACCTGAGCACCACAAACCAAAAAACGCTACTTAATTTTAATACTAGGTCTCTATGCTTTATTCTGCTGAGAAATCACTTTGAAAAACACCGCCCCCCCCCCCCCCCCCCCCCAGCATTTCTGGGCATGGCCATCTTGAGTAAGGGCAGATGATTTATGTACCATTTACTTCCTGGAATCCATCTGCCCTTAACTCAGTCATGTGAGCAGGAGGGTGTGCTTAGCTGAAAAAGCAAATCTTCCTCCCCTGAAGACTCCTGGGATGTATACCATCATTTGTCTAGGCAAGAAAGCATGAAGTAACTAAGAAATGTAAAAAAAAGGTCAAAACAAGTAAATATAATTTACCTATCTATTTACTAATGCTAGCAGAATAAAGATTAGAAATGGTCAATGTTGATTGAGAGAGTGAAGTTCCACTTTAATGGGTTAGTTCACCTTCACCAAAAAACTGTGTCTGCAGATAAAATTAAGCTCTGCAGCTGTGAACAAATTTGAATAATGTCCTTGCTATATGTGTAGGCCATTTACATACCTTATGAAGCCTAATTGGAATACTCCCAGGCAGGGGCGGACTGACCATTTGGAAACTTGGGCACTGCCCGAGGGCCCGGGGTCAGTAGGGGACCCCATGAGATGCCCCTGGTACCTTTTTCATAGGCTTTTTTGAGTTTGGGCAAGAACAGGGGACCCATGATCCGCTATTGCCCGGGGGCCCTCGAGTTGTCAGCCCGCCCCTGCTCCCAGGGCATTCTTAGCCACTTCAAGTCCGGACACTTTCACCCCCTTCCTGTCCAGGCCAATTTTCAGCTTTCAGTGCTATCACACTTTGAATGACACTGTACCCAAATGAAATTTTTAGCATTTTTTTTGAGACAGATGAAACTTTCTTTTGGTGATATTTATTCACTACTGGGATTTTTATTTTTTTGCTGTATAAATGAAAAAAGACCAAACATTTTTAAACAAAAGTGTTTTTAATATAGCAGTTTGTAAATAAATAATCTTTCTTCATAAATCTTGGCCAAAATGTATTCTGCTACCTTTTTGGTAAAACAATAACTAAAATATGTTTTATAAAAAATAATTATAATTTTTTATAATGTTTTTACATTTTTATATTATTATTTATGTATTTATTATTATTATTATTATTATTTTTTTACATATAGTCACCCTAGCAGTACAGTGTAACCATAGTGATGCTGTACTACTTGTGGGGGGTGATGAAGACTTTTTTTTTTTTACACTGATTGCTTTTACACCTATAAAGGCTGTAAAAGCAATAATTCCTTCTATCTGGCTGCATTCTTGCAGCCATTCAGAAATGCTCTGAGAGCTATAATTGGCCGTAGCTTATCACATGGTACAAGGCTGTTGTGAATAGCCTTGTACCATGTGACCTCTGTGATCATTCATAGAATTCACAAGTAGTAAACGGGAAGTGGCATCTTGTTTACTACTTTTCATGTGATCACTGATTGGCCAATCACTGATCACAAAAATCAGGACCTTACACAGCAGCCCCGTACAGCAATCTCTGTTCCGCTGTGTCCACTGGACACAGATCACAGAGTTGCATGCTCCCAGGGAGCGCGCACAGGCAATGGATGTGGGGGCATTTAGAAATGTCCGCCTGCATTGGCAATGCTCCCGTCCGGCCGTTTATCGGCATTGGCCGGACAGGAAGAGGTTAAGGACATTGCTAAGAGAGGCCATGACTGCTCATCTCCACCATCACAGGAGTGAGCTCTTTCTCTGATTCAGACTTCCTCACATGCTCTTCTTCTTCCCTGATGCAGTAGCTCAGAGCTCAGAGTTGAGAGCTCACTCTTGTGATGATGATGATGGACAACAGAAATAGCTAGGCCTCTCTTAGCAACGTCCTAGCAACATCCTGGAAACATCCCAGTAAGGCTTCATGAGGTAAATGACCTAAAACTATAGCAAGGGCATTATTCAACTTTAGTCAAAGCTGCACAGTTTGTTTTTATCTACAGACGTTACTTATCTGCATAGGCCGATTTTTGGTAAAGGTGAACTAACCCTTAAAAAAGGCAGACCCATGAACTAGAAATCACAAAACTACAGTTCGCCTTCCATTAATAGAGATACTGGCAATGGCTTCATATAGGTCAGTAAGAGGATGCTCTGGTGATAGAGATTAGTCAGTGCTTGGGTCAGGGGACAGAGCAACATTTTGCTGCCTCAGGCAAAGGGGGAGCAATTCCATAGGCACAGACAGGAAACCTCTTTAGTGACCCTACCAGTGGCAATTTTTAGCAGCAGACTCTCCTGTATGATAATAGCCATGACGCACTAGTAACTTTGTAGCAGTGATTTTTATAGCAGCTAAACAACATCTCTCTGCTTATTTCCTCTCAAAATTTGTAGCTAGTTACAATTGCTACTGTAACTAATTCCAGTGTTTATCTATGTAGCTACCAGCTGCTGGTGTTTCTTCAAGCTGCATTGGATAACATGAGTACCTACTGAACCTGGTGATTCTGACACAACCCTTTAAATGCAGTAGAATGTCTCTTGCTTAGTGGCAGAGTTACAGCATACCTCCCAACAAAGATGAAATCGGAAGTGACGAAACGCATCAGTGTGATGTCGGACGTAAACCTGAAGTTGCGGAGCGGCCATTTTGGAGAAGGTTTTTCATACTGTTTGCCATTCCTACACATGTTGAGACATCTTGTCTTTCTTGTAAGCACAATTTGATTGTTAAAGAAGCTATATCCCTACCATTGCCTACTACACTATGTTGGTTGTACTTTGCTACATGTTATGATGCCATTGAGAGCTGGATGATCTGTAGAGTGAGAAGAGCCCCCTTTTGTAAGTGAGTGGACTTTATCATCTGGTAAGGTGCATAAGGTAGAAGGTGGCGGTCAGTGTGTTCACTAGTACTGGGAGTTTATGTTATGAGGGGAGGACGAGCAGAGTGAAAGCATTTTTTGAAGATATAGCACTATATGCGATTCCTTCGGAGGTATATTTTGTCAAACTACAAGTCCCATGAGGCATTGCAAGATTGACAGTTACAAGCATGACTCCCAAAGGCAGAGGCATGATGGGACTTGTAGTTTTGCAACAGCTGGAGGGACGCCAGTTTGAAACCCCTGGTCTACAGCCTTCGCATTTCATTAGTTGGATTTCAGATTCAATCATAGAGGCTTAGCATCACATGTGGGGGTTATCTAGGGCAGTCCACTTACAAATGAAGCCTGCCTAGGAATCTCCCTCCTCCAGACTGACATCTACCCATAAAAGCATTTTCAGATTTTCACATCTCCTGCCGAAAACCAACCCACTGCTTGCAGGGCACTTGAGAGGAGTACTAAGGCAAGGTGCTGTGATGTTTTCAGCAAGCACATGTAAATCACCCTGCCAGCCCCTCCCACCAGAAATGATCTGCCTGCAAGGCATAAGGAACCACAGAAACCCGGAGATGAAATCACTTGAACTAAAATGAATAAAAAATTAAAATGTTAAAAAAAAAATTGTCATTAGCATATTGATAAAGTATGAAAAGCAGAACCAGAAAAGGTAAAACAGAAGAAGATTAAACGTCAGTTCTTTATCCTCTTGTTTGGAATTGCATTGTAATGCTACTGATTCTCTTTATTTTGTAAAGTGCTGCACAATCTGTTGGTGCTATTTAAATGCTGAATAATAATAATAAATAATAATAATAATAATAATAAAGCTGCACATGTTTGTTATAGAACAGCACATTGTACAGTGGGTATAGAAAAGAATCAGCCCCTTTAACCACTTTTAGGCCACCCGCCCTCAATGTACTGTGGACAGGCGGCAGCTACAGGACCAGCGACGTACTCCAGTGTTTTTCACAGAAGATTTATATCAATTGATTGTGGGCCAAAGCAATTTATACGCACAACAATACATTGCTAC